TACGTCCGCTTGAAACTGATGCGATCATTAGAACGCTTTCACAGACAAGAACTAATGCATATGGGCAGAAACTCTCTTACCAGAATAAATGAGTCCCTTTGTCCTGCCATCTAGCCAAAACTGCTTTTGGATGCTATGAATGTAGCCATAATGACTCAGCCACTGCTCTGAAGTAATCTGATCAGGAGATCATAGAGACCACTTTAGTGACAAGCACTTACACAAACGCACACACTCCCACACACTCCCACACACACACACACACACGCATAAACACTTCTAATCACAAACATCCCTCATTTCCGCTGTATTGATTTCTGTATTGATCTGGCTTAGGAACAGTGTGTCACTCTACAAACACTGCAGGGACGGATATTCACATCCCAATCCCCTTTTTTTTTTGCCTTCCCTTGATTCTCTTTTTTTCCTCCTTCTTAATTTTAAGATCCGTATGTCAAGATCAACATGTACCATGGGAAGAAACGTGTGTGCAAGAAGAAGACCCACGTGAAGAAGTGCTCACCCAACCCGGTCTTCAACGAGCTCTTTGTGTTTGATCTGCCCTCGGACGAGGGCCTGATGGACACCAGCGTGGAGCTGCTGCTGATTGACTCAGACACAGGTAACTCGCGCTCTGCCAACAGCACCCTCGGGCGCCTGGTGCTGGGCACGTCAGTGGTGGGCACCGCCGGCGAGCACTGGAGGGAGATCTGCGACCATCCGCGTCGCCAGATTGCCAAGTGGCACGCCTTGTCAGAGGATTAGAGCGGCGGGGTGTTGTCTGATACCTTTATCGATAACTTACCTGGTCCGACCTCAAGAGGGATGGAACAAGAATGTGAGAGATTCAATGTAAAGTTTGTCAATACCCAATGGACTTCAAGTGAGGGTGAATGGAAAAGAGGGGCGGAGGGACATTGATGTCGTGTGTGTAGGGTGTGTGTGTGTGCGTGTGTGTGTGTGCGTGTGTGTGTGTGTGTGTGTGTGTGTGTGTTTGCCTCTGGGGGGTGTCATTAGAAGACATTTCATCATTCAAACTACTTCTTTCAATCACTTATCTTTGAAGTTATTGGGGTGAAGCTGGGATAGCGGAGCATGACAAAGGAAACCCCGGAGCTTTTAAACGATCCCAAAGACTGCCACTGAAAATCATCCGGTAACATCCAACATAACCGTCATAATCTCCACTGAAAACAGCCAGTCGTCACTTAAACTGTGCAAAGTGCAGAATGTCTAAAATGTCACTGTTGCTTTTTTTCCCTTCTCTCTCTTCAGCTCTTCCTTCTATGAATAGTAACCTAGTCCATTGTATGAAAAGCAGAATAAACCACAATCCGATAATGCTGTAAAATGTGTATTATTAAAGTTTATTTTATAACAAAAATGATTTCTTCATAAAGGAAGTAGGATGTTTTTATGTACATTTTTTTTTTTTTTACTCAGAGTTGATTTGTTAAAAATGTTTTGTAGTCACAAGTGGTATTTCATATATCATTACTGAAGTGCGAGCCTAAATTAGGTGGTTTGAGAAAATACATGAACAGGTAAAAAGAGTACACTGAAGACAGTGAACTGTGGTTTCATATGTGTGTGAGTGTGTGTGTGTGTGAGAGAGAGAGAGAGAGAGAGAGTCTGTGTTTCAATACGCAAGTGCTTGTGCTGATGCAACTGTTTGAGTGTATGGACGCATGTGAGTGTTTGTTAGCTCTGGAGCGATGTGAGCCACATCATGTTTACTGTCGGTGTTTTGTCCCCCTTACTGTGAGCACAAAGACAGCTGAAGTGTAAATGTATGTATCTTACTATAAAATATGGCAAATTCTGAGAAAAACAAAAAAAAAAACAGAGTCTGACGTCTTTATTTCACAAGGATGAGAAACTTAGACTTAGACTTAGACTTTCTTTATTGTCATTCAAACTTGTACTTTACAGTGTAGATAAGAACGAAATTTCGTTGCATTTGGCTCGTTGTAGTGCAGGATAAAAACAGCAGCATGTATTTACATATAAAAATAAAAATAAGGTGCAGATATAAATAGATATAAAAAGAAAAACTATGAGTAAAAATACTATACAGATAAATATATTGCACGTTATATTGTATTTTACAGTCCAGTGAGGTAGTCCTGTGTGGGGGTTTGAAGGGGAATGGAGGGATTATTTTTTCCTGTTCAAAAGTCTTATGGCCTGTGGGAAGAAGCTGTTACAGAACCTGGAAGTTCTGCTTCGGAGGCTGCAGAACCTCTTTCCAGAGTCCAGCAGCGAAAACAGTCCTTGGTGGGGGTGGGAGGTGTCTCTGCTAATTTTCTGAGTGTTTACTTGGAACGAAATCATTGCTGGTACTACCAGAAGCCATTTCTATACATCTACGGTACAATATATAAAAAAAAATTCAAAAGCTTAAATACTACAGCAAAGAGTCTGTGCATGGAGCAGCCTGGGGATGACATCATCAGGTCACATGATACCTCATAAATGTCTAAGTGCTCCAGGATGAAGTCATCATTGAATAGCTGAATTTAATACAAGCTAAGTGGTTCAGTGACCGTGAACGACCGGCTCAGCATCCCGGCCCGTCGTTTAATTCCCTTCTGTTTTTCTTCCAGATCAAAAAAAAAGATCAAACATAAAGATAAATCCTAATAGCTCTCTCTCAGTAACCACATATATATATATTGATATATAGATAAACAGCCTCTGGGTGACCTCCTAGAGTTATTTGGACATATTGTAACATACCCCTTCATTTATATGCAAAGCTCCTTAACTCTCTATGGCTGCAAAAGTAGTTCATAGAGTTCTTTCAGAAAACATACTCCGACATCACTCTTCGAAATGAGTTTGCTGAACACACACATGCATCCGTCCCTTTAGCATTCTGTCCCTGTCTGGTCCTCACTGCGGGAAGCTCCCTGCAGAGCTTTGATCTGTGCTTTTCTCACATGGATTGTCGTAAAGGCAGCTGAAACAATACATTGAAAAAAAATCATTCTTTGAAGAAATTTTTAAGGATGCATTTCAGCTTTGTTGAACAATAAAAACTCTTCAGCCAATTCCAACCCAACTAATATTGAAGATATTTCGTCCTTCGGCCAATCAAGACAGAATATGGGGCATTCCAACCAGTGGAGAATCAAGTATCCATTTAGGTTGCTATAGCAACAGCATGGAGGCAACAGGTGCCTTCCCCTGAGAAGATGGAATACACTGACAACAAGTTCCTGTTGGCTTTACAAGACAGAGCCTTTTAAGCCACCACAAACCTCGGGGTTGGAGTCTGATTTAGGCACACACTGACAAAAGGTTAAACGTTGCTTTTACTGAGCATTTGCCTTGATATTGCTGTCATGGCAACAGGGTGCAGTGGTGGTTCCAGGGTAAGGGGGTGGTGGAGCTCATGAGAGACAAAGAGGAAGGTTAATAGATTGAAGAAGAAAAGTTTAAAGAGAAGGAGGAGGAATGCTGGGCAGCAGATTGATGGAGCAGGGGAACAGATGTGGGTCGAAACCGGAAGAGACGAGTCGGCCATCCCGATCGGTCTGCAGCCCCCACTCTGTCATCATTAACCCATCCTCCTCCACCTCCTATTCTGTAGACTTAGCAGGTGAAGATGGATTTCTGTATGTCTTTGTCAATAAACCGAAGTCCAGGTAGTTCTTGTTGGCTTGGTGAGCGGTGTCGCTCTCCTGGTTTGTATGACAAACAAACAAATCATCCAAGTGGTTGGGCAGAGAAAGGAAAAAACCAACAGGCAAATAGAAAGTGAAAATATGCACTGAAGCTGCTTACAGAGGGGTGCACAAGACTGAAACTTCATGTTGGAGCCGCAATTTGGTTTATTTTATTTTCATCAAATGCTAATTTTTCCTGCTGTTATTTTTTTTATTTTATGTGCACCCTCCTCAGGTGGTGATCATGGTGGTGATGCGCAAGTCCATTAAGCAGGGTGCAGAGCGCACCTGTTGGAGGGGGCAAAGCTCATTGCCTGTTTTTAACCTCTTTTTCATTTATTTTGCAACGTTGAACAACTCTTCAACTCTCTCTAGATATTGTTTTTTTTAAGTCTTCTTGTGTGATGAACTGATCCTGTTTTTTTCCCTTTGGTAAAGACAAGAAGATATTGGAGAGGCTACTGGACAGACCTGATTTTTGCCACTTCAATTCGTCAACGGCGTGCTGTGAATGGGCGCATGAGGACTTTGAGAGCATGGCACGGAGCAAAGACAAAGTAAATGCCAGAACTCCCCTTCTTTGATTACTCACTCGTTCTATAGATACTTAACTCTTCCTTCAACACCCACAGCGCAGGACAATTACATTATCAAAATACTGGAGAACCAAAATGATCAGACGAGGATTCATGTGATACAGCAGCTTAAATCCTCTCTACCACATGGAAGCCTGCCACCTTTTAAATTCACTCTTTCAAAAACATGATGGAAAGTACATCTGACAACAACAGAGACAGACTGCAGTTTATGAAACAGTTCAGCAGATACCAAGCGCAAAAAGACTGCGAGAACATGACACCAAACAGGCTTCCAAAAAGCAATGGTTTTATTTTACTTTGACCATTAGATTCACTGAAATAAAGTTGAAACTTGAATACATTCTAAATGAACTGTGACTATGATAGCTTTGTATCCAGAGTAAAAGCTGGGATGGACCGTATAAGATATCGAGTCAGACAAACAAAGCCAGGTCTTACTATTTACTTTATGGCCAAGCTTTAAGGACAAGCAGTAAGACAAACATTTACTTACAGAGGTAATCATTAAGTCCAAGCCTATGTAACGATCACTTGTCTTTATCAGCTGCTACTGATTCAATTAAAGGCTCAACCATTCTCTTTCTCTTCGAGCTGAAGTGATTGGGTTGAACTTTATTCTCTTCCGGCTTGTCTGAATTGGAGTGAATGTGTTACCCAGTCCAACAGTTTCTTTGTTAAACCACATCCCCTCCTTGTTGATGAGGAAAGAAGAGGGGGGGGGGAGGAAAACTCAGAGAAGGGATGGAACGAAGCTGAAGAGGAAGGAACAGGAGGAGAACAAACACTGGAGAAAAAAAAGAAAAAAAGAAGAAGAAACAAGAAAGTTTGTTTCCAACATTAACTGTCTGTCGTTCAGCTGATGTGGAAGGATACAAAGATGGTGGAGGCCAGCAAGAGCCGTGCCAGCCTCGGCCGGCGTGCACTGAATGCTCTCTTGTCGTGTACTGGGGACATGGAGCACTTTGTTGTGTTTATGCAAGGTAGGAAAACCCTCACAATTCACTTCTACCTTCCCACAAAATGTACAAAATGTAATATATTTTGAAATGTGCATGCTAAAAAAGTTGTTATTTATCAACTCAGCAAAACTTGTTAAGAGGAAGTCCCTCATATCTTACAGTTTGGCAAACTGTGGTAATCAAAAATGACAGCAATTAAAAATGTGCATTACAAGCATAAAGAGTAGAGCGATCATAAATCATCTGTAAACACCCATCTTGATTCTTTAACAAGACATCTATCTGAGGAAGTTTGCCTTGAAATTATCTTTTTTCGGGGAGTTTTCTGTCAAATGTGATCTTTCTGTGTCTCAGACACGTTTGTTGGGCTGCAGCTGGTGGTGTGGTGTCTAAGAGGGGTGTCCAGGGTGACCCTAGCCAACAACCCGCTGAGTGGTGCTCTCATCTTGGCTGCACTGTTCTTGGCCTCCCCCTGGCAGGGCCTGCTGGGAACACTGGGTGTACTGGCCTCTACCCTAACAGCTGTCATCATAGGCCAGGACAGGTCGGAAAAATTCAAGTTTTTAGAGGATCAGTAAAGTCCACAACTGTTTCTAAATATTTAATGCTATAGCCTACTATTACTTTTAAAAACAATTAAAAGAAAGCCCCATTTCAAGGGAATCACTCCAGTTGAAATTATGTTTTAATGTTTTAATCTCTGCTCATCAATACCTAACGTTTTGTTTCACAAAGACCAATAAAAAGCTTCCCATGTTTACCTTTCTCTGTGTTTCAAAAGCCTTTCTTTTGCCTTCAGACTAAACAAGACAACGATTTAATGTATGATTTTTGCTGCTGTGTTCTCTTGTGTTTGTAGTGCTGAGATATCCGGAGGCCTCCATGGATTTAACGGCATGTTGGTATCTCTGCTGATGGGAGTGTTTAGCTCAGCTGGAGACTGGTACTGTTGGCTGCTGCTGCCTGTCTGCTTGGGGTCAGCTACATGGTAAGAAACACTCGAGCCCAACTGCGACTAGCTCGTGCATTGATGTACGCCGATTATTAATTATCAGCTTTGTCTGACAAATCTTTGCCAAAGGGGCGGCAGTAGCTCAATCCTTGTCAAGTGATTGCATGTCTCCACTAATGCATGTCCACAGGTCCTGTTTGTGTATGTGTGGAGAAGCATGTCTCTCAATAACAGAGTGTAAAACCAGAATCTAATGTCAGGAAAACCGAGGAATTGGTTATAGATGTCGAGTTCAACATTTATAACCCTCAAGCGAGCACTATCCACGGTGACAATGTTCAAATAGTTGACTCATAAATCCCTTGGAACAGTGATCCATTCTGAACTTAAGTTTTCTGAAACCTCTGAGTCAATTATTAAAAGGAGTGAACAGAGAATTCATTTGATGCGGAGGCTGATCTCTCTTAGTGTCTCTGAAAACATGTAGCTTTATCATCAAGTCTTTAAACATTTTGTTGAATCTGCTGGTTTAACGGTTGTCAGAACTAGAACAGTTTGAACCAGTTTTGTAAAAGTCTGCTCAAATGACCATTGGAGTCCAGCTGAAAGACTTGAGCGCCCTGTAGAAGGAGTGTGCGGTCAAGAAAGCAAAAAAGGAATCATAAACCAACCCGGACAAGTTCTTTCATCTGTCCATTCTGGACGACGCTATCTTGCACCTCCAAGGAGAACCAATAGATACTCCAACTTCTTTATCCCTTTTCCCACTGGACAGTTACTGAACATTAGGTAACCTGTTATGTATCTGTTTTGAATACATTTCTAGCGTTGTATTTATTAACTTCTAAATGTTCTATATCTCTGGCTTCTCATTTGGCGACCTGTTCGTCTGTTGGCATGTGAATGTAATCGTCCAATGCTGCTGGGAACTGTGTTTCCTTTATGTTGTCTTGACTTCTTTTAATGACTCGGTAGGCTGTGAAACTGAACTGCCCTTCTGGGATTAATAAGGTTCTCTGAATCTGAAAAGCTGGGTTATAGTTTGTGTTTACAATGCAACAGATGGGCTCTGGGCAACTCAGGGCAATTCATATTAACATAATCCATCAATTTATTTGTTTATCAGGCCAAAAACATCGATGTGGAGTTTATAGGAAATGCCAATGGACTCATTAATAGTTCATGCACACTCATCATGTCCAGTGTTTTCCCAACTTAGCCTGTTTGATAAGGATGCACATGTGTGTGTTATCATTATGTGTTCGTCATCTATTATTTAACTTGCATTTTCAAATATCTGGCAGGACACAAAACCTCTCACATACTTATTCATTCAGGGCCACGACGGATTAGCGGTAGAGGACGTCATGACAGAAGCCATCTTTGTCATGCATGCCATATACAGTATGTTGAAAGAGTATAGATTCATGACTTCTTTGATGAAAAATATTTGATCAGAAGCAAACATTGCATATAATAAAGCAGCCAGTTGGACTTCAATGGCACAAGGCTGAGTTTTGGTCATTTTGCTAACAAGTAGAGAATGTCAGTCTACTGCAAAATATGATTCCACCCTCTGTTCTCCTTCCATCCCCCATCCCCCGTCTCAAGTGTCTTTTTGTACAGTGGTTTCTCCTCAGTGTTGGACCGCTGGGACTTGCCTGTGTCTGTGTTTCCCTTCAACACCGTCATTGTCCTCTACCTCCTTTGCACTGGCCCAAATAACCCCTACTTCCCGCACCACCCAGCTGCAGCTCCAGGAGTGCTGGATCCCAATGGCACCGAGCTTGTTGCTGTAGAGGTAAGGCAATCAGAACGACACCTGAGACCCTGTGAGAAACCGATTTGACAAACCTTAACAAGTAACCAAGGCCCATATATGAGAGAGAGAGAGCTTTAACTCCCTTTATTACTGTGAGAAAGTAGCCAAAGCAGCAGTAAATCTTACATTTGGATTGGACAGCTACACCGGTACTTACAGACTAAGTGTGTGAGTAACATTTCCAGTGAAGATTGAACAGACACTACCCATCCAGTCGGATAATCACAAACAGGCGCATATCATTGGAATTGTGATAAATGACAGAATATATGATGGAGAGATTTGAGAGATATTTAAAACCGGTGTCCAATCCCACCTGCATCAGATCTTGAAGCCGTTTGTTGGCACTTACAAACGCTGTTTCCTCCTATCCTCATCCTTCCTGGTGTTTTACTGACTCTTAGCTGTGTGTCCCTTCAGAACTAAAGTGTCTGCTGAATGAAACTGTAACATTATAAAAGCAGTTTCAGTCTGGTGTCCGCAGCAAAGTAGCTCCCAGGAACACAATAAGTATCAGCTCAGCCGCTCATGACTCACCGGTTACTTAGCAACAGTGCCTGCTGGAGCTCCTGTTCAGAAATCATAATCAACATAAACTGTTTAAGCAAACGATGTGGATGAAGCGGGTGCACCAAAAGATGAAGTGTTGTTTTGTGAAGTTCCTGTGGATTGTGTACAATGCTCACTTTGTGTAGGCTAGTGCATGTTTTGAATATTGTGTGTCATTGGCTGGTTAATGGGAAGGATACGGGGGGGGGGGGATTTAAAGCTGCTGTGACCTTTGTATAGCCATGGAGGAAACAAACAAACCAACCAACAGCAATAAAAACCACAAATCTGTTTCCTTCTAAAGACCAGTTCATTAGGATGCAAGCTGTTGCGCAGTACACTTTGTAAAGACAGACACACGTGTGAACTGAGACGTGAATATTAATTAAATACTGCTGCTATTTGAAAACCTTTGGTAAAAGAATCGGACTCCTGCTAGCAGCTGCAGTTGGCTTTTGATCTCTGTGTGCCAGCCGGCATTTTGTCGTCTGAAGACTGACTGAATTTTAATCTTCAAATTTGATTTAAGCAAGGGCGGGGTTAAGTCCATTTCCATTTAGATGTTTTCATGGGTGAAGTTTTTAGCTGCCCAGCACCAGACAACAAACAGCAAAACTAAAAAGTGAATGCAGTGTTTTATTTCCCCCCCATATCACTGATATGTTCTGGGAAAACACGTGGATTTCTCTGTCCTGTATGACCTTGCTGCATTATTTCTTCCAGGAAAACTTAACATGAAACATAATACTGAAGATGGAGACAATGCTTCACTCTCTGTCTCTCCAATCGAGGCGATTGGCTGGCCAACTAAAGTCTAGCTCTGCTTATAGTTTCAATCTTTTTTTACCAAATGGGGGAATAATTGCGTCTCTGTTAAAAATAGCCTACCGTATCTGTCTTGACCTGCTCTATTTTCTAATGTCACGTCTTACCTTTCTTTGTGATTCGTTGTAAGATGGATTTAATTTCTTTGCCATTTCTGCATTTTAAGAAGAAAGGTAATATTTTCTCTTTCTTCTTCTTTAGTGTCAACTCACATCTTTTCCCTCTTCATTTCCCCAGTCTGCATCTCTCGTTGTGAACGGCGTCCTTTTCATTTCTGAAATTCCCTCCTAAAATCTGAAAGCTCTAAATCTTTCTTTTCCTCTGTGCTTTTCAAGTGCTCTCCAGCCATTTCTCTGCTCTGCTCTGCCTTTCATTTCTTCTACACATAAATGCCTTCCAGCCTTTTCAGACAAATCTCACCCTTCATTCACCAGTTTGTTTCCCTTTCCTTCAACACAATGTTTAATGTCTTGCTATTCTTCTTAATTTTCTTCTTACCAACGCTGTTTTCTCCTGCCCTCTGTCCTTCTCTCATCTTTCCTCTTGTACTCTCCGGAGATGCAATGACGTCAGTCCTATTTATATTTAATGTCTCAAGCTTTCACTGTGGATGGTGCTCTGGCTGCACAAGCACAACAATGTAATAACGCACACACACACACACACACACACACACACGCAGATGAGTATTTGCAAAAGGCAATATAATTAAAGACCATTTATGAGGTTGTAAGTATCAGCGACTGGCAGGTGCAGCAATTACATCACCATGGAAACTCCTCATTTTCTCACTGACTCTTGGGAAAGCTGTGAATGTGTGAATGTGAGCATGTGTCTGTGTTTTGTGTGTGTTTAACTTGGTGAAAAAATAAGGATCTGATGATTTTCACAGAGTAGAGAGAGTCACATGTTTTGTCATGTTTTTGGTGAGTTTTTGGAAAAGGCTCTATTGTGTACTCTCCTTTTTTTAAAATCCATCTCTATATCTCCCTCTTGCAGGTAATGCGTGGCATCCCTCTTGGCGTGGGTCAGATCTACACCTGTGCAGATGTTGGGCCCTCTCTGCTCATCCTCGTGGCCGTTCTCCTCTACTCCCCCCTGCTGGCCTTCCACGCTCTGCTAGGATCCGCAGTGGGAACGCTGGCTGGTGAGCCCCCCCCCCCCCCCCCATCATGTTTGTGTGACAGTGTGGGAGTGTGACAAGAAAGAAAGATAGCTATTTGATTTTTTTTTTTTTTTTAAATGTAGGCCAACTCTATGTGGTGATGTAATGAAAGGAAATCGCTTGTCACATTAAAAGCAGGAAAGCTTAAACTTTGCTCCATGCTATTTCTGATCCAGAGGGTCAGTGGTTTAGAAGGTGAAATAGTAAGAATTGGTTTTCCGGGTGTCAGAAAAATACATCTAATTACCGCAAAAGTGACACAGGTAAACATGGAGAACATGCAAACCCAAACTATTATTTCAACAAATGGCTGAAGAAACTCAAATTATATAGCTTTCCCTTATAAATAAATTGAAAATTATAATTTCACTATCAACTTATTTCACTATTCCTCTACAAATGTGATGCTGCTGTTATCAGTTAGATTACTGGGGTGAGGGTGAGGCTCAGGTTAGTCTTAAAAGACAGAAAAACAGCATTTGTAGAAAGACGTGTGAGTCCCTGACGGGCAAGAAGGACAACACAATTACATTTTTATATTCTTTAGTTTTTTATATTCTGTCAGGAAAAAAAGGTCAACTATCAATCTGGGCCATATACAGGCTGACTGTAGCCTATATGTTTGGGAAGTTAGAGTTTAGATTATTTATCCATTGTAAATTTGCAGACCTGCAACTATAGAAAGCATGAACCTCTGGGTCATTTTGGAGCAGACATTCATATTCCTTCTTTTTGTGACGATGTGAAAAAAAGAAAGATAAACAAACTGATCTCCTTTTTTGGTTTCATGCATTGTTTGTCACTAAAGGCAGTGTGTGGCACCTCCATGTGGATAATTCCAGTACAGCAGATTGTGCTGAAGCCCAGCTCCATCAACGGCAGTGAGGTTTTGTGATCTCAAGAGGCATGAGAAGTAACCAGTCTCTCTCTCTCTCTCTCTCTCTCTCTCTCTCTCTCTCTCTCTCTCTCTCTCACACACACACACACACACAGGTTTATCAATGGCAGTGTGTCCTGATTCGCTGTACTCTGGTCTGTCAGGGTTTAATGGTGCTCTGGGCTGCATGTCTGTTGGAGGACTCTTCTTCACCTTCAGCTGGAGGACTCACCTGTTTGCCATCGCCAGCGGTATACACTCACACACACACACACACACACACACACACACACACACACACACACACACACACACACACACACACACACACAGCCTTGCTTTAGTCAGATTTTAATGTGTACATTGTGGTTAGAGCAAATATCATACCACACTTCTAATGTAGGCCTGAGGTAAAATGTTGGGTATCTGTGTGAAATGTAAATAAACAGAGGGCCTGATTCCCAAAAGGATAGAGTTGCTCTTGAGTCAAAAGGACACGGTCTAATTCACCAAACACATGTAATGAGTTGAATACATCCTTAACTACGCTGCAGAGCAAACAGCTTCTCTGTGCGTCAGTGCTGTTTGCTCATACTGTCGCCAATATGAGCCATCACAGTTAGAGTAGAAACATGATCATCTACTGAGACAAAGTTAAGCTTGTTCAACCTGCTTATGCTTTCATTCGTAGATGCAGACAAACTCACAAAAAAAAAAAAAAAACACTGGCACAGTGCTAAGCCACGCAGCACATCTTAAATTAAATTGAAGTTGGGTTGCCATGAATTCAGTTTCCACCACTTTGGCAGTGACCCAATTTACCAACATTAAGAGAATGAATCCTGATAGGACCTCTGAGTGTGTCTCCTGGCAAATTAACTGCAGCTATACTCTGTTTATTTTCATTTTGAACCTTAACACTTCTCCTCCGCCTGCAGCTTTTCTCTCTGCGTATGCTGACATCGCTCTGGGTAATCTGCTGGGATCTGTAAGTAAACACACCTCACACACATACCGTGCATGAAGCAAAGCAACGCTAAGAAGCTTTAAAACCTCAGGATGACTCCATTAGCATCCGCTTTTCTTTAATCCCCCTGCACTGTGTAGAATGATGTTGATGCTTTGCAATATTGAGAACTAAAAAATTTAGTTGAAACTAATTAGAAACGTCATTGTGTTAGATGTCGATACACTTCCTGCAGCTGAATTCAAGAGAAATAGACTTTATTTTCAGGCTGCTATGGCTTTTTCCTCATTCCTACTGTATGTTAGGGCCTTTCGTTCATGAGCCTTCTCATATAACAAGAAAATTCAAAGGTTAAAAAAATCAGTCCATGCATTATCATTTGGGATCCATTTGACAGCATCTTTATGGAATTTGGTATCCAAGGCAAATTGCTGTTGCATTAAAACAATCATGTAACCCTATATTGCATTCCAGCTGTTCTTTGTACTTAAAGTACTTTACACTTTTTGCTCGTACATCATATTACATCCAGGAAATGACAGGGAAGCCTTTTTGTAAATCTATGTTTTTTTTATGTTATACCCTCAAATGTCAGCCTCCTGTCTTTCCCCACAAAACAGAAAAAAGTTGTGCAATTCTTTTTTTTTTTCTTCTCTTTTTTAAAGTCTGTTTACAGCATGTTTAACTGTCTGACTCTTTACATTGTTCCTCATTCATTATTTAAAGCCCTCACTGAGTCTCTCTCACTAGGTTGGTCTTCCGGCGTGCAGCTGGGCAGCGACTCTGACAGCCACACTGATGATGCTGCTGACCGGCACTTTAGCGGCCTACCGCATCCCTATTGGTCAAGTCGTGGCGCCCGAGCACAACCTGCTCTCCAAAAGTCACTGGGAGGCTGGGAACACTGCTGAAAGAGAGAGCACTGATGTGTAACTCCAGGAAACACACACACACACAGAGACTACTGTATCACAACTTCCTGAGTTGGATTGTGTGGACTAGAAATACAGTTTGTGTGTTTGAAATGTACCAAATTAAAGAAAAGATTCTTGGGTACACAGTTTCAGCTTAAGGCTAACAAGTAAAAAAATAGAAGAGATTAGACACTTTTGAAGGAGCCCTTGTGTACAAAGTAGAACATGATATTTTGAAAAGTGGTCATGAGGCTTTGTTTTCAACCTCAACCATTTCTATTTAAGGAAGCGTGTCTATTTGATCCAGTAGATGTCGCCCTGGAGCACCAGCATGAAACCGAGACAAACTGCTGTTTGGCGCCATACTGAAGCCTCCGCTCCCAACCCCCCTCCCCTTGCAGTCAAACGAAGGAGATTTCAAATGGAACGCAGCATAATCAAGCACCATTAAGCACAAGAGGGTGGGCAAAATTGTCCTTGGCTCATGCTGCAATTGCTCGTGGCCTTGCGTTGTTGTGTTAGTGCTCTTTAGTTAGCTCGTAGCTTCACGGAATGACCGTGATCTAAAAATGCTTTTGTGATATTCAAATAAGCAGTAAGTAGGCTACAGTATTTTTATTCTTCTTCTCTCTAGTCCTTGACTTAAACAGCTTTATACACAAGGGGAGGAGTCGGTCGTCCCGTCCATATGTGTAAAACTGATGTCAACACGGCTCCGACTACAACACAGCCTGCGGGCCTCACGCTTCTCACATTCTTCCTTTAAAACTTGTTTTTAACTGTGCACTCTTTTGTAACCGTGTTCCTGAAGGAGACACAAAGAAGACAAAGGAGCAGCTAGATTAAAAGGAAAGAAACATTTTTTTAATAGGGATGAAATCAACATGTCCATATAATTGAATCATTTTTTTTGTGTGTAAAAACAACAGTAAAAACAGGAAACAAATTTCAATAATACTTCGCTTGTCACTCCCTTCAGTACTCCTCCTACTACATACAATGCAAACAACTGGAACTCAGTGTCAAAAACAAAGCGTACAAACTGTCAACGCAGGCATCCATGAGACATCATGAACACACAGGACGAGTCATGTGGTCAGCTGCTTCGGTCAGGAAGGACAAAGGCAACTGTTTTACCTTTGACTGTCATAAAAAGTAATGAAATCATTCTCATTATTATTACTTTTGAATGACAATTTGAAGTGTTTGCTGATGTTTTATGAGTAGAATTTGCATTTGCTCGTGTAGATTTTTTGTCTTCATGATTTATTTTCCCAGCACACAAACCACACACACATCCCAGTGTGAAGTAAAAAAAAAAAAAGTGCAACGTTGACTTTACTATGATTGTGCAGATTACTGATCAAACGGCAAACACACAAACAATGATGTACTTTCCAAAAGGTTTCTTTACATGCAATTCTTTCTCAATTCCTTGAGGATTTTTTTTTTTTTTTTTTTTTTGGGGGGGGTATCTAACCTTTTATCGTGAACGTTCTCCCACACAGCAGTGATGTGGTTTAGAAAGAGAAGAGATATACAAAAGTGTGTGATCAATCAGCTTAAATAGAAAAAGAATTGTAAGCTGCATGACAAAATAATTAACATTCGAACATCCTTTAGTTGAAGATGTTTTGTGCTTCTGTTTGTGTGTTTGTGTGTATGTATGTGTGTGTGTGTGTACATTATTGTTCACATAATAAAGGCAGAATGACGCAGACCACACTCACTAGTGATGTTTACATTATACAATAATGAAACTAGGGAGATGTATCTTTTATATCCATACAGTATGTTTTCTTGGTGAAGTGAGTAAGTGTGTCATTGTGTGAATGTGCACGGCTGGGTGTGTTTTATCCTGCATGATTATTTTCATGCACAGATTCTTAGTTTAGTTGCAATGTACAATGCTGTTTGGCATTTCTTCACCAAACATGTTCTAGCTAGTATCACACACTAACGCCCAAAGGTATTTATCATTAATATTGCCATGTTTGAGCATTCTGTTAAATGTAAGTATGTAAACCTACATGATGTTTAGTTCTTCATGCTTTTAGACATTCATCTAAACGACGACTGTGTAAACACTGAGACTGTCCCGTCTGGTGTTAACAGAACCACAGGACAACAGCTAGAAAACATGATTTATCATTTGTAGCCAGAGCAGAGCACAAGATCAACAGTTGCATCTTAATCTTGTTATATACATGAGGGTTTTATTTAATCCCAGTTTAAAGGTGGAAGCATCTAGGGAATAACCGTCTTGCCAAACACCAGATGAGAATATGTTTGTACAATTTAGAGCTGCAGAGGCTTCAATTCGGGGAAATTCTTAACCCAGCTCCATCCAAAGGTAACTAATCCTCAACCTACAGGAGCACCTCTAAAGCTCAGTAGTTGACATGATTTCTTTTTATTTTGTTTGATATGAAATAAAACGATTTGTCTCAGGTGACTGCCTGCCGATGAATCCACTCTGTCTGACCGAGAAATACTCGGTAAGCCCCTCATGAAAACATAACGTCATTTTTACACTTTAGTTTCAGTGTGTGAAGATTTTGATGTCGTTGCACACCCAGTGGCAACTTAAACAAGCCAATGTCAGGGCGCCGATGGCCTCGCGGTTATGTAGCGGCCCGTGTGCAGAGGCTATAATCCTTCTTTCCTGCATAGCTTGACACGATGTCCCACTCCATGTTTTTCTACTCTATCCATGTTCCTATCACATAAAGGCAACCCCACCCCCCGAAAAAAAAAAGATAAAAGAAACAACCCTGTGTCCCTCAAGTGAGTGTTTAAAACCTTTTTTGAATCAAATGTGAGATAGCACCACAAAATGTAAATCCCTCCTGAATAAAAAGCTCACTCTCATACCGTGTCGGTGCAGATGTTTTAAGTGATCAAACACCCAAAGTGCATTCGAAATAATATTGCATTTATAACCGGAAAGAACTGAGTCTTCTTCTTTTTTTTGCCACTTGGAGGACAAGCTGTGGAAAACAACTACATGCAATCACCTAACATAAACGAAAAGGAGAAAGTTTTCTTTCGCTTGCCACCTTACCATTCGAGTCGACATTTCACTGTCCTTCGAGTTCTGTTCGCCAATATGTTTGTTTATTTTATTTTAAGCCGAATGATTTGAATTTAACCCGCTTGCACTACTCCCATCTCATTTTAATCTGTCATTGACCTCCTTATAACTTGACATATTTTTGCCATTTGTCGCCAAAGTTAGAACCCTACCAAGATCAGCACAGCTCTGCTAAAAGTTCAATCTCTAAAATGTGTTTACTATATTCTTAATGCCTCAGAAACCTCTTGATTCATCTAAAATGTGGACTCAAATGAACAAAGGATCGGCCCTCACTCGAATAGATACAGTTACTGCTTTTATCCAAAACATATCCATCACTGAGTTTTTTTTCCTAACATATTTCTGTGTCTGCAAGTGCCAATGTGTATCTAATGTCCAAAACAGTTACAGTGCATATCGTGAATATCTTCATGACCGTGTGTGTGTGTTTGATTGTGTGTGTTTGATTGTGTGTGTGTGTGCGCATTTCAGAGCAGCCTCCCGAGCACCACTCCCTCTCTGCTCCTGGCTTCTCCTCTGAGGATCTCCAAGAAGCCCAGTTTTGTCAGGAACTCCAGCCTCTGACGGTCTGTTGGTTGTACCTCACAGAACACACCCTGAGAGCCTGATGATTTCAAAGAGATGTTAGACGACACATAAGATATACTTTATTGTCAGCTTGGGAAAATGTTTCGTTATTCTCCGTCTGGCTGCATTTTCAAGAAATACAGAATGCAGAACGATTCCACAGAATTAAAATATATTGAAGTTATATAACAAGTTATAGTAAAAAAAAGGGTCACTTATATCTAGGGCTTCAGCAGCCTGAGGGTAAGTTGGCTACACAACCTGGAAGCTATTTCTAATGGTCTGCTTATGTAACTCTCATACACAGAATGGACAGCTAGTGTAAAATAAGGGTATTGGATAATATTTCTAATGCTGCCTTTAAAGATAATAAGGCACACAATGACAAAAAAAACAACAATGAGTCCTTACCGTTAGCCTTTAGTGCAGCGAGGAGGGCGTTGAGAAGAGTGCGGCTGACACTGACATCCACCAGCTCAGGCAAGGCATCCAGGCGCAGCTGAGAGGGGAAGTGATAGAGGAGAGAGTCCGGGTACTCTCCCTGGTCCTCCTCCATCAGCTTGATCAAGTCCTGCACAGAGAAATGTTTCTGGTCACGGCGTGCTTGATGGCGGGTTGTTGTTGAAAATAGTATGCCACTCTACGAGTCATTTTCAATAATTGCCACCATTGCTTTACTCCTGGCACCTTATTAAAAAGGTACCATCCAGACACCAATCAAACTGACAGTTAAACATGTCACTGCTTTTGTATTTATAGACATCTGGGATTAGTCTAAAGACATTTCTTTCCTTAAAGCTAGAAATGAGTTTTCAACTTTCATGACATGAACCCACATGTGCAAGCAGGCAGATTTTCTCTCAAAAGATTGACATTTAAGGCTTTATATGCGATTTGTTGAGGCAGATGTCGCCGTTGAGCACCAGCATGAAACCAAAACAACTCGCGGTGCATTGTTGTGTTAGCATGCTAATGCTAGCGATCTTTATTATGCTCGTATCTTCACACTGCATGTAAATTTACCTGAAATGAGCGTGATCTAGAAACACAGTTAAGCAGTGAGTACAGTATGTTATTCTTCTTTTCTCTAGTCCCTCAATTAAACAACTTTTATACATGAGGGGAGGAGTCAGCCGGCCGTCTGGGCGATGTAAACAAACTGAAGATAGGACTCTGAAAACTCTGAAAACATCACAGACAGTGGGACTCGGGTGTTACACCCATTGTAGACAGTCATGACTCACAGAGTTATTTTCAGAGGATATACTTGATTTATATTTAAGTGTGAAAAATCGCACTTAAGGTCTAAACAGGAGAGCGTGTGAATCTGTAACGTGGTTATAGTCGTATGCCCCTAGACGATAAATAGTTTGCTAAAAAAGACGTTTAATGATGACTCTGCATATTCACCTGTGTGTTGGGGTGTTCATGTCCTCCTTTGGGTGGGTATTTGTCCCTCATGGCAGGCAGCCAGCTGGCCTGGCAGCGCTTGGCAAAAGAGCGGACATCCTGGATGCCCAGCACGCAGCCGCACACACCCAGCTCATCCTCCAAGATAAAGCTGTACTCTGGGCACAACGCCAGGCACGGCCCGAGACACCTATGGAGATAAAAAAAATAAAAATACTGTTTTCTACAACGTTCAATACTGTTTTCTTGTATAATAAATATGAGCTTTTGATATTTTTTTTTTCTTCCTAGGGATAAAAACACACACACACCTGTCTCCTATTACATCGGGGTGAGCAGGACAGGACCCTTGGATACTCTGAGTCCTAATGTGGAGTTGTCGCACCATCCGATACAACTCCACCTACACACACAAGAAATCAAAAATGGTATGCAAAGTAAATGGTAAATGAAGTTTTCTAGTCTTGTGACTACTCAAAGCACTTTGACACCGCAGGTCACACCTACACACTCACACACTGATGGCAGAGGCTGCTCCATAAAGTGTCCATCAGTTTTAACTTATCCTATTAATACACATTCACATGCCGATGACGTGGCAGCGAGAAGACTGACTCTACCACTGAGCCACATCCGCCCCAACAATACAACTGTTTTATTTACCCACACAAGACAAACGAATTCACATGAAGGTCTTTTAGTGTTATTATGCAGCACACGTCCATATAAGGATCTGTCAGTATCAGATTAGATGATCCAACAGCGTGCACATGTGTGACTTCTTCTACCTTGTCTTTGTTGTGATAGGGCCTGATGTTATAGAGGCGCGAGGTAGGGAAGAGAGGAGGAGGATGAGTGAAGAGTTCGCTGCTGCTGCCTATTGGGAGAAGCATCTGCAAAGCACACAAACAAACAAACAAACACACAAACACACATAAAAGCAGGTATTAAAGAAGGAACTTCTTTTTTTTTTAATTAAGAATTAAGAGTTCTGATGCATGAAATGGGGCGGGGGGATTATAAAATTTCTTTTGATGTAGTCTCGTACCTGCACCTCCCCAGACACGCCCCCTTTGAACGCCCAAGGTTCTGACTCCCCTCCCGGTAAGTCCGCCCCTGTGGACTTTCCACACCCTACAACAGACAAGAACCAAACATCAGTGAGAGGGAGTGTTACGGTGAAGGTCAATAAAACACCACATGAGTTATTATTGAAGATTTAAAATAAGTGCGCAGTTAGAACAGTTTTTAAGCTCAAGTTTTAGACTCGTTGCACGGCTAGGTTTGTTTTTATTGCATAACTAGTTGTTCAAAAGGCGAGGAAATAATCACACGGGTCTGGGGCTATATGAAATCTTTTAGACCGACAAAAAAAAAAAAAGTCATGTCTACTCACAGTGAAAACAGTTCTTCCATGTCCCGAGGGAGGAGCCATCACTCAAAACTCGTCCGTCTGAGATCGAGAGAGAGAGAGAGAAAGAGACGAGACGAGAGTGCCTTAGTGTCGGATAATGGGTAGGTTTATAATTTTCCAACTTCAAGAATGGAAGAGCGTACAGTTACATGGTAATATTGTACTATACTGTAGTGGTATGGTGTAACATAAAACTGCTTAACAACACATTACTACACTTACAATACTAAAGTATACCACGCTGCTATTCAATAATGTACTACAGCCTACTTAAGGCTAAATTAAATGTGGCTTTATGTAGCAGCAAACTACTTCTTACCACATTAAACTTGACTTGTGCTATACTATTATATATCGTGTAGAAATCTTACAAAAACAATGCTATACAGTACTATGTTAAAATATACTATACTACTGCAGTATAGCTATAAAAACAGCATGGAGAGTCTATGATCAAAGTCGTATACAGTAAAGTTATAACACATGCTCTGATTTTTGCCGTTATCTGTGTGTCAAACTCACCCAGCCAGCATATGAATGCTTTAGCCACCAATGCTGTGTTTCTCAGGTCCCAAACGTAAGGGTAAAGGTCGTAGAGGACGGCCCTGTTGGCCCCACCCACCACGCTGCAGTGGAGTTGGGCGATGTCTTCACACAGGGACAGGAACCTGGAAGCCCGGCCGCGCCACTCGTCAATCTACGCACAGTGCATAAGTGGAAAATCACTCACGTGCCACATGCGACACATATCATCAATCATGTATTCCAATATTCAAATGTGACTTAAAAAAACACACACAGCCTCACCTTCTGAGGTGGGGCCTTATTGCCTTGAGCACTGACCATCTGGCAGTTTGATTTGAGCCAGTTCAGGTCCTGCAGCAGTTTCTGGGCAGAGAGACCATGCTCATGGGGCAGATAATAAAGACCAACCAGCAGCCGCACCTGCGACTCACTCAGCAGGCCCTTCCCACCGCATGGCCCCCGATCCTGGGCCTTCTGTCCCCTACCTCCACCTGATGGCGCTCCAGGCCTTGGTCCTGAAAGCTGCTGCTTTGGCTGACAAGGCTGAACTGACCTCCCTCCCTCCCTCTGCCCGTTGACCGCGGTTGGAGACGACGGGGATGAACTGGAGTCCAAGGGGAAGACGGGAAGTTTGGCCACGGGGGAAGTTCTTCTGAAGGTGGATGGGCAGTCGGCTCGGTCGAGGGTTTTGCAGCGAGATACTTGAGCAGAGGATTGCTGGTCTGTTTGTGTGCACTGCCGACCTGTTATGATGAAAAAGCATGAATCAGTAACTATGCCCAAAGGACTTTTTTTTTTTCTTTAGCAATCTTCAAATAACTGCAGTAAACAGTGCACTGAAATAATGCGTTAAGGGAAAAATGATGAACATAAGTCTGGTCTAATGTCATGCACACAAGCACAGCTATGATTATGTTTTACCTGCTTGCAGTGGTTGATTGAGTTCTTCCATCCAATCATGTAGTGCAGCAGACAGAGCTTTATCAGGGCAGTATTCACACTCTTGATCTAAAGCATACACAACATTGTGTTACTATCTATCAATCAATCAATTAATCCATCTTTATTTGTATAGCGCCAATTCATAACAAGTGTCGAGACACTTTACAAAAGAGCAGGTTAAAAGACCTTACTATTGTTATGTCAAAGGCCTAGCTTAATCCAAAAGTTACAGTGGCAAGACATCCTTTACCTTTCCCCTCCTTGTTTCCAGCTCTGTACCAGCTTCCCAAAGTATGCAGAGGGACATAGTTGGCTTCAAACTCGCAATTGGGGTTGAGCAACAATCCTCTCAGGTGGCTCCTTAGCCCCGACTCTCTGCCCTTAAACGGCCCCAGGAAGAGACGCCTGGAGTCGTAGTCGTTAGCGTGCAGGTTGTCCCAGATGAGCGGGGGACGCTGGAGGACACACTCCACCTCAGCCAGGCAGTCCACAGTCAGCTTCCTCGAGATGACCTTACTGCCTGTGAAAGCAGGAGGAAAGGGAAAAGGTCGACTTTGATTCAAAACACCGCCTGCTCCACGATCTGTAAGCCGGACTAAAGACTGATAGACAGGTATGTTGTCGGTGATGTGCTTCATCTGTTGAGTATGTAGCCGTTAGGGATCTAATTGCGAAAATACATACAAACTGAAAAGGACTACAGGGTTATTTGATATGTTTGCGTTGTGACAGAACCATTCTGCCACAGGAACACTAAATAATGTGAGCAATAATATGAGGACTGAAGCAAAAGAAGTCACAATTAAGATACTTGTTCAAAGCAGTAACTCAGTGACTTGTTGATAGCAGTAACTGTAACTACTTATTTTCAGTGACTTGCCCAACACGTTCGTATTTCATATGCTTCCATGTGCATGTGTCTCACCTGTCCAGACCACTGTGATGTCGGGCAGCAGGTCCTCTCCAACAGTCTGCAGGTATGGAGACTTGGATACACTGGGAGAACACAGTGAACCACAGTACTCTGCAGGAACACACAAACCGAGGTATATATTGTATCAGCAGGCTTCATGGAAAGGCAGATAAAGCTGCTCAGGTCAAATGTTACAGAGTTCTGTCGACTGCAAAGACATAATAATAATAATAATAATAATAATAATAGACTTTATTTGGCATGGACATCACAGATACATTGGACGAACCATGATGCATTGTTTAAAAGTATTACTGTTGCTCTCTAGTTTTATGCCATAAACATTTCAGTTAAGTTACCTGTAGGGCAAAACAGAAAGATGGGCGGTTCCCCCAAGAACCGGTAGATCTCATTGGTTACAGTGACCTGAGCGTGGGCGAATGAGGAAAAGGCCTCACTGTCAGCCTGACACATGGAGTGATCGATGTCGTCGAAGAGAATGGCGAAGGCCTGGCAGCCCAGATCGGATACCTTGACAACACACAATGAAGTTGTTAATCCCAGCGGTGGAGGAAAATAGAGACTTATCGACGTTACATCGGTGCGTTTTATTGGATCTAATTGTGTCGTGTACTTGTCTCAGCTTGCGTTTCAGTAGCGTCAGGTCACAGGCGGACGAGAAGACGATGTCCTGACCAGGCGAGAGGGCGTAAACAAATCTCAGTCCTCTGGATTTGGCCTCCACTATGAGCGTTCTCAGTCGACCTGCAGGAGGAGACAAGATGAGCGAAAGTTGAAATCTTTAACGTGAGACAAAAGGAGGGACAGTAACTAGGAGTCGCAAAAACAAAGAACCCAGCACACAAACGTGAAAGCCTCAACATTTATACTTCTCACATTTCATCCCAAAAGCTTTTTACTTCTGCTCAGAGGTGCAACAGACAGGCCTTTTTAAAGTGTAGTTCTATTGATGGACGTTACAGAGACAGACAGAGGATGGATAAATGGACAGAGTGAAGTTACCCTCTTCCTCGGGAGAATAGACTTCTCTCCACAACAGTCTGTGTTTGAGGTCATCTTTTGGGCCGTAGAGGTAGGTGTTCAACCCCCAGCATTGCATCCTGGCACAGAAGACATGGGTAGTTAGAGAGACATGTTGACAGCTTGAGTTCGAAAAAAAAAAAAAGCCTGACTCAAGATCAATGCTAATCCGGTGTTTGTGCAAACATGGGCAAAAAACAAAACGTGTAGCGGTAGAAAAAGGCCGGTTAACCTCTGACACCAAACTGTACGATCTTTTTTCTCTCGCCCGCTCTATGGCTCTCTGTCCTTGCCTCTATGGTACTTTTTTGAGATGTATATTGATCGCCTATCTGTGTTTCTGTCCTTTGAGTGACTACAATTGGCATGCATTTGGTGCTTCATTTAATGGGAGGGGCTTAGTGGGGGCAGAGGTTTTTCCATAGGAGTGTTCACGTTGCGTACTGCCACTTTAAGAAAATAGATCCATACAGGGAATAGAATATTGACCTGGTTACCAGAAAACTTCCCCCTGAATTAGAAAGTATTAAGCATAGACAAACCATGAATATTGCTCTCTGCCAAAGTCGAGGGTGTAGATCATCTTGAGAATACTTCCTTCCTCAAACACACAGCCAGATACACAATTTGCATATTGTGTACACACAAACATACCAAAAGCCCTGCTCCGCTATACTACACTTATGCAATACTCATCTTACAAATTGTGCCTGCATCCCACTCTTTGAGTCTGAAAAAGGACACTCTAAATATATCAGGAACCCACACACTGAATTGCTGATGCACCAAAGTTTGGATTCAAATTCATCCTCGTCAGGTCAAATTAAAGCAGAAATGGCAAATTGAACAAAGTCGTATTTTCAACAGTGCATCTCCACATGGATCAGTAAGCAAATATCAACCAAAGGGCAGCAGAAGACGACGAAACTGTGACACACTTACTCACTCGGCTCATTTGTAAGAAGCATCAGTAAGCATCAGTTCATATTTACTGCTTCTTTTTTCAGTGAATATTCTCATTTTTGTAAACGCGATGTCAAGGTTTCTTGAGACCTCACTTTGTTAAGACATTATCTTTTAGGATTCTAGAGCAGTTCACTGTCATGGTAATCGTGTTTCCTGCTAAAGAGCTTGATTCTCTGAGTACGCTTTAATAAACTGTCAGTAAAAAAAAAAAAAATGTATGCGATAGTTTTATTAAGTCATAATTCAAAAAGGACTCATGACCAGGAGAGCTTGAAATTGGATGCATGTCTGAAGCTTTAATAATGTGCAGAGCAGTGAAACTTCTTGCATCCTTCATGGAAGTGTGCAGTGTTTCGCTCACTAGGTGAACATCATTTTTGTTGTGTGGTTTAAGTGACCCATGATCACCTAAACTTTGTTTAAGAGGATTTTCTCACTAGAACCTAAAGCAATGTTTTTTGTGCATCTTAAAGTCTGAGAATGAAATATTATAACACCCTAACACTGTAATTGAAAGTGTTGACTTTCTATCCAGTAGAGCTTAATTCAATCCCTTCGACTTGACACTAAAGCAACGTTGAGACTGTACTTTACATAAAGGTAAATCCAGAAACCCAAACAATAGACCTAGAAAATAAGACCAGAGGAGGGCTGCAGATCAGAAAATACCACAGAAGCGATTACAGTTCTTTATGGAAAACATGATTGTCTGTATCAAATCTCATGACAATTCTTCCTAAAAGATATGACTTATTTAACTTGGAATCACGAGTGGTAACCTCGTTTGCAGCTAAATGTCAGGGATGACTAATGTCGTTTAGATTCATCTTCCAAGAAAGATGTTTTTCTGTGTGCAGACCTCATTGGGGATGTACGAGTAAACGTCAGGTGATCACTAAAGCCATTAGCTAACTGACAAACAAACTAAATAGAAAATCCCACTAGAGATTCTTCTTCCCTATCGACTGTATTAAAACAGTAGCGTCCGCCCCCTCCCTCTCCCTCCTCTCTGGTCAAGCTTGGCTGAGCTTCAGAGCGGAGGATGAGACTGCCCTTTGCCATGGAGTAACTCTGTGTCAGTGCTTTCTCTCAGATCTGCCTGAAACTAAAACAGAGGAATGCAACTGGGCTGATCCCACAGGCGTCAGATCATCTGAGCTCAAACTATTCATACACAACATCGCGAACTCATCCTCACTTAACAAGTTAGTGACATTAATTGTGACACCGGTGGCAACATAAAGCATGAACATGCAATCTTTCAGACACCCGCTTCATTACAATTTAACAGCTTTTTTTGTTTTTTAGTGGCAGACTTACCATTGGAAGAGAACCTTTCTCTGATCCATAGACCAAGGCCTCCCATAAAAACCTGCAAAAATGAAATAAAAGGAAATGAGTACATGCTATCTTCACATATGAATGCTTAAATAATGAAATACTTAAGAGTAATCTGAAGGTGTAGAAGCCATGCAGGGGACTTGCTCTATATCTGAGGTGTTAATAATAATATGTAGCCTGTTATCGTTGGTGGAAATCCTTTTTCTAAGTGATTTTTACTGTATGTAAAACAGATAAGAGTGTAACTGTGCACTATGAGAATCATTTCAATTGATCTATCGATGTCAGTATCTGTGCATCTAGTATGTTGTTTCCAGCTCTGCAGCGAATATTCACAAAGTTAGCAAGTTAGCCGTCACTTGACACTGTGTGGGCGCATAAAACATGGTTAGCTTTTCCAGCTAATAGTTTGGAATAGTCTTTGGCAGAGGCATAATTCATGTCCCCAGCTCTACTCTCTATCACACTCAATCTATTTTTAGAAATGGGAGCATCTCCAGTGTCCCTCTCTCTCCTTTGTGTGTGTGTGTGTGTGTGTGTGTGTGTGTGTGTGTGTGTGTTATGGTTGAGTTTTTACAGAGCAATGGTTGTCATTATTATTGAATTGGATTATTAAGAGGGACTGAGGACAAACAGACAAAAAGTCTTTTAATGTCAGGGATGAGTCAGTAACTGAGCGAAGATGTCAGACAGCTGCTGTTGCACCTTCTCAAACAAACGTGATGATTTACTGTCTGTAAATATGAGAGTTTAAAAGTTTGGGGTTTTTGGGCCAGTGTTAGAAAACATTCAAATCAAATCTATCAAGGCTGTATATGTTTGAACTGTTAGACCAAAGTAACAAAATAATCCAATACAAGGAATAACAATCACTTGAAGGCTAGAATGGCCTATTGAAGGTCAACACGTAATATTAAAACACACTCTATTAGTCTGCCTCCTGCCACACAACGGAACAGGTACGCTGAATTAAACCACACCCGCAGGTGAAAAACATGGAAGAGATCCAACTCAATTCATCAGAATCAGAAACAGAATCAGTTTTTAATGCCAAGTACATTTACACATACAAGGAATTTGTCTTGGTGTATTGGTGCAAAAACAGCCAACAAAGGAAATGAAGCACAAATAGAAAATAGGAAGAACTTAAATAATAAAATATGAATGTATAATATATAAAAAGTGTAATGTAACAAAGAATCAACACAGTTAAATACACATCGTGGCTCTTACACTCACATTAGACTTTTATTGTGATGCCTTTTGATCATGTGGTCAGAGGTGACACATCGATGGCGTCTGTTCACCTCACTGTCAGATCAGGGTGTTTTTTTTCATCGTCTTGTGATTTTATTACACAAAGAAAACTATTTCTTTTGTACTTTGAGGGTCAATGCTCCCAGCACATACGAGTATATGTATATTTTTTGATTGAACCTTTATTGGTCCCATTGAGATTAAGAACCTCTTTTCCAAGGGAGACCTCAAATATTGAACTGTAAATATCATCATGAAAGTCTTCATCTTCACCATGTCATAGACTCGTACTGTAAGTTGGGATCCTGTTTCGTCTCTACTTGTAGGTGTCATTTTTTTAGTAGTGTTTAGGCCACCCTTTCTTCTTTCAGGATCCCCCTTAACCATCATATCCTATCATACCATCCCAACAAACATCCTCACAGTCTCAGCCCATTGTTACCAGCATTATGATATTTTCTATTTGAATTATAATCCTTACCATCGTTAAAATCACCATCACATTCTTCACCACCACCATCATCATCATCATCATCATCATCATCATCTCCAAGTTTTTTCCCCCTCTTCTAAAGCCGCTGCCATTGGACCAGTCATTATCAAATAGCCTGCTTCTTGGTCTACACCTAAAGCTAGGATTATCAGACATATCATCTCTCAAACGTCAGTAAACACTCAACATGCTCTTCTACTCTCAATTACCACAATTTGTGATGTCAAAAAGGAAGAAGCAAAATATAGGTCACAGAGTGGTTTGTTCAAGATCATCTCGCCGTGGTAAGATGAAAATCACATGATGAGACAGGAGGTGAGAGATGGATTCGGCCGCTCTTACCTTCCACCACCCCACACAGAAACTGCTCCTTGTCGTCCATCTGGTCCCCCCCCCCCGCTGCCTCCTGCCCCCAGTCGGCCCCCCCCCCTTTATGAGCGAGGAGAAGATGATAGTGCTTAGCTTAGATTCCGGGGATATTCTCCATGTTTCTCCTCTCCTCCAGCTCCTTCTCTCTCTCTCTCTCTCTATCTCCCTCACCTCCCCTTTACATCGCTGTCTGCTGCGTTCAGGTACCAAGCGGCAGCTCCAGCCTACCAAACGCCCATTCAAAAAAAAAAAAAAAAAAAGGAGAAACCTAAAAACTAGTGTCTTATTGTCTTATTGTGGTTTGTTTACCAAATATATCATAAAGAAAAGCCTTTTATTGAAACGCTGTGGTGACAGGCTTTTATTTTAAGGCTGCCTATCTTTTCTACACAGGTTATAATAGACAATTAAAAGAGAATGGCGAATTATTCTTAATTGGCTATTATTTTTTTTACCATAATGGAAGACACAACTACATGCCTGCTTTGTTATTATGAAAACGTTATAAAGGGGAAACAAGCATTTTTTATTTTTTTTTATGGCAGAAAATTTGGCCATGGCATGAAAAGCAACGTTGTATTTCATCATGTAAATAATTCAGGCTTCTATCCATAGGCCTATAGGTTTGTCACTGGCACGGCACGAACTGAAATGTCTCTAATGATAAATAAGTAGGTTAGCTAGAGGCATGATTTATCTGCTGTGAGAGACCCGTTTGTTGCTGTTTTCCTATTTTGTTTTAGGACGCAGAGTAACTAAAATGACCCCATAAGAGAGGCCTATAGTCCTAATATAGCCTAATCAATGTCACATACTTGGTATTATACATTCGTCATGAATAAGTACCCTATTTAAGGCAGGTTTATAAAAGGGCTGTTGTCCAAATATAAGAGTCCGTTCATTAGCCCTATAGATTATTCTGTTGAACAATTAACCTGAAAATAACTTACAATTTTCCCATTATACAAAACGCCTTTAAAAATGCACTGATTTATGTCATTTATGTTTGTTTCACTTAATTCAGATTATTCCCTTAGCCGTGAAGGCAGCATCTGCTTTCAGTCTTCGGTCCGCACAGGCGCACTAGCCTTCTGTCAGCACTATGGGCATGGTGTGTGTGTGTGTGTGTGTGTGTGTGTGTGTGTGTGTGTGTGTGTGTGTGTGTGTGTGTGTGTGAGAGAGAGAGAGAGAGAGAGAGAGAGAGAGAGCGCCACACAGTCTCAAATCAATTAGTCTCATAACCATGCGGCAATCATTTGGTTGGTGTGCGTGTGTGTGTGTGTGTGCGTGTGTGTGTGTGTGTGTGTGTGTGTGTGTGTGTGTGTGTGTGTGTGTGTGTGTGTGTGTGTGTGTGTGTGTGTGGGGACGTGGTCACTGTCAACATAAAAACATGTTTGCCCAAATTCTCTGGAGGCCAATATTTCTCCTTTGGCACTAAAGCTTGGAAATAATGTAGCCTATATTTGGACAGACACCAGTTCTCCTTGATCAGAAATAAATGAGTTGCTTTTTAGTGTTGCAAATAGTTTAAAATATTGTTTTGCAATGATACACTTTTTTAAATGACGGGCCCTGTTGAACAGATCGTTTGTATTTAATGTGAAAAATGATTTGTCAATGGAATTCACACACAAGGACAAACAAAAAAACATGGGTTACCTGTCAACAAATGAAGAGCTCATTAAACATCCTAAGGGGAATGTTGGGCCTATACAAATTTTCTTGTATAGATTTTTGAACAGCCCTCCTGTCCTTTCTGCAAGAAACTGTTTTTTTTGTAGAACATTTGATCAGCAATCTAATCTATATTGTATCGATAACAGCACAACATTCCCAAAATATTTAGTTTTACAAAAGATGAAAATAGAAGAAAACTTTTTATTTCAGTATTCTTTAAAATACATAATCAAAGATAGATATGCACTTTATTGTCATTGTATAAAAATTACACAACAACATTATGATTATATAATTATAACAGAAACAGAAGTTATTCCAACTGAAATGCAGTCATGATTTAAGAGTTAAATATCTTTAATGTTTCTTCACCTCCATGGCTCTCTTATGACTTCGTCTCTGCTTTTTGCAGCATTTCCTGGACTGTTTTCTACCTTTGTCCCAGTTTCTATGGCTGCCGCTCTGACACTGTTGTCGACTTTACATTCTGCAGTTTTAAGTCTATTAATGGTAAGGCTTCGTTCATTCCCCTTCGTTGTTATTTCAGTTCTTGAATGAGTGAGTGTTTCCGGTCAGTCCTTGTCACCTTTGTGTTTTTGGTTTCTAACATACAGTTTGCATGGTGTGCTGTTGGGCTCCCTCTAGTGTTCAAACACTGGAAGTGATCAGTTGATTTCCTCTCAAGTTGCTTGCTGTTTGGCTCAATTCTTTTTTGTCCTTCATCTTCTTGAATCATCTTTTTGTGGGGCCTCAAACTCGCCAGCCCATGATTAAGCTTACTTTCCAAGCCCCTTGAAAACTTTGTCTGTTTAGTCAAACCCACACCGTCATGGCTCTGGTTTAACAAATCACCGTTTAAGGGCTTGAAGTTTTCCTCTGCATGGTGAACATCCTCCAGTTGTTTTGCACCGCAAGCTGTCAGGTGGCCCTCATCAGATTTTTCAGGATGTTTTCTCACTTTGAAGAGAGGAAAAGAAATGTGATTATTACCAAAAAAATCCCATTACCCTTTACTCAAGTAAACGCATCACCGGGAGGGAGAGATCTCAGGAGGCCGGACATGATGTTAAAAGAGCAACGCAGGAATGACACATGAAGCAAAGACTGACGCTATACGGATTTATTTTAAGACCATCGTAACATGATAATGCTTAGCAAACTTACCCTTCCTGTACATGAGGAGGTAAGCTGTACCGGACCTCAAACACTCGTCTCTGCCCCTAAATAGAGGATTTCTGACCTGAGATATTGGAAATACATCAGTCAGCGCTCTCAGTACTCTACACTGTGAGAGGATTTGTAAAATTATACTGCATTAAAAAACGAGCTTCCTTACCCCCCTAACGATGTCGTCATTGAAGCGATACCACCCCTGAGTTTCAAAGGATTTGATTTGCGCCGTGTAATGACCTCCTGTGAGATCACCAAAGTGGTCCACTAGAGCGTAGAGGTCGTATTTGCAATGCTGCAGAGAGGGAAGTGACGTTACAGTCGACACATTTAAGAAATGAAAAGATTCCGTACAAGTAAAACAAGAACATACCTTCATGTGTAAAGCTTTGGGGATTTCCATTTCGCAGTGAAGCTTGACGTGACACCTGCGTTTGTAGTCAAAGCTGAATCTCTTCAGCAGGAGGGTCAGGATCTGTGGATGCCGTGCGATCTCACAGCCCTATACAACATGATGAAGACACAAGACTTCATACATTGTACTCCAGAAATATATGAGTGTGCCTGGAAAATACACTTTAGAGGATCAGAATGAAGAGGAAATTAGTTAAATGGATCTAACAGCACTATGGCATCTTATAAGTCTTGATTTTTAACAGCTTGAAGCTCCTGGCAGGAACTTTCAGGTTGTGCTGATTTTGGCGACCCCTCTTGTCTCTTTGCTGATTTTGTCCTGTACATGTGTAAGTAGTGTTTACAGTCTGGACCAAAAACAATCTCACCTTGTATTCTTTGAAGACTTCAGTGTTTCCTCATCAGAAATCTTAACCATGGAAAATGTAATTATTTTAAAGGGGACATATTATGAAAAATCCACTTTTAAAGTGTTTTTGAAAACATATTTGTGTAACCTGAGTGTCTACTGACCCACAAAATATGAAATAAATCATATTCAGTCCTTTGTTTGTGGTCTGCATAAGTCTTACAACACAGAGACAATCCTCCGTTTCAAGTTTTCTCAGTTTGTGATGTCACAGTGGGATTCTGGTAAAAAAAATATACCCTCCCCTCCGCTGTTATCTCCACCCATGGACTCCACCCCTTGCCTAGAACAAAACTTTTGCACAGGTCCGCCTCTCTACAAAGGATTGATGTCTACGGGGAAAACTCAAGGGGGGGGGCTCATTGCATTTAAAGAGACACACACACCAAAACAGAGCGTTCTGAGAGAGCTGGTTTATACAGGGTCACAAACCTCCTCTGGTGCTTGATTCATGTTATATTTTGAACAAAGCACAGCACAGATGTTTCATTTAGACCACAGGGGTACTGTTTGAAAAGATGGAAAAGGGGGATAATATGTCCTCTTTAAAAGACGATTTCGGTAGCATGCTGTTCATCATTTCAACAGACACCTACCCACTGGTGATTTTGGACATTACAAATAACGTTATAGAGATAATTAATCTTTTCTCTGATGGTCTCGTTGTTTGCTTCCGTAGGTCAAAAGGAGACGTCAGTGCTCACTACTGTCTTTTTCATAACCCGCAAAAAAAATCCTCCCAGGAGCTTTAATGGAAGTGTGAGCGTTTTTAATGTGTTCGCTTGAGAAATATTTCTTTTTTGAAAGACAAATAATATATCACAAGACACTACAAAGTCACGTAGTTCAAATTTACAGCAGCCTCTGATATACACTATGTTACGAAATAGACTTGTGAGAAATGATGTAAGAGTTTTAGAGGAATTTTAAAAGGGATCATTTCAACACTCACAAATTCTGCATTTTGCTTTTTATTGCAGTGGGTGCAGTAAATCTGGTTGTCCCCACAGAACTTTTCTCCCTTGAAGAAGTCCTCCAATCCCTTTTCCTACAAACACAAAAACAAAAAGTGCATTTGCATATTTTGAGAAGAAAAAAAAAACCTTTTGTGTTTGAGTTGAGCAGAGTACCACGCTGTAGATCTGACGACAGGATTCTTCCACGGTAAGAGGCAGAATCCAAAAAGCGCTGCTGGTATCACTTATGTGTTTGCACTTGAGGCATTTGGTCCTGTGATCCAGCGCCCCCTTGAATGACTGGATAAAAAGCACATCAGAGGTTCAATAAGTCCTGTGTGAAGTGATCATGTGAGTCTAGTTAAAGGAACATTTCAAACACACAAAAAACATCA